TGTTAGTAAATTACTTCAAATCACAGAAAGAATGACTGCAAATCTTCCATTATTTTATTTCTCTCCAATAAACATCAACCCACCTAAATTTAAAAAGATAGATTTATCTCCTCAAGAACAAATAAGAATTCAACCAACTTATGGGTTGGAACTTCAATTAGGAAAAAATTAAGGAAACTACTCTTTCTTATGGAAAGATGTCATGTAATTGTTTAATTAAGAAAATACCAAGTTGAGTCTTTTTATTTTCTTTTTTTTTGAAGTATAACAAAACGTTATTTCATCATTTAATAATTGTTATTAGGTTTGAAGAAATATTATTAAAATATAGCAATATTATTCCATCTCTAGGATTAGTAGCATGGCAAGAGTAAAAAATAATAAGTCAAAATATGTTAAGAAAGGTTAAAAAAAGTTAAATGTATTTCTTTTATTGAACAACTTTTTATTGAAGAATATTAAATTTTAATAGAGTTAATTAATGTTCCTTAAAAAAGAAAGATTAATTAAATAGCTATTGTAATATATAAGTAAATAAAGAACAAAATAATAACAATACAAGAAGAAACAATATTTTTATATTTAAACAAAGAAAGAAAAATAAAACAGAGTTTTATTTAGTTTAAGAGAAATAACAACAAAAAGAATTAATAATTAAATAGTAAATTTATGTTATTTATACTAATTATTAATATAAAAAGGTTATAAATAACAAAAACGAATGAAATTAAATGGGATTATATTCGTTGTTGTTTCTCTTAGCAAACTTAACAATGATCATACCAAAAATTAATAATAAGCCACATACCGCTACTACTAATAAACTAATCATTATTCCTTTTGCACCAAAACGTTCTAAAACTGTTTTCTTTGGAGTAGTTCCATTATCTACAGTTGCAGCTTTTATTGTTGTATTACCAACTGTGGTTTGAGTAATAGTAGAATTAACAGTAGGTAATAAATGAACATTACTTTTACCATTTACATTACGATTAATATGAATTGTTTTTGGATTTAATTTTAATTGAACATGAGAAGGTTTTAATTTATTAGATTTAATAACAGAATTATTAACTAAAACAGGACATTTTGAACATTCACCATCTTTTTTTCCATTACATTTTTTACAAGATTCTTCTAAATGACATTTATTACAGAAACTTTTATTTTGTTGATTAAAAGTTTTTGATTTACATTTATTTAAACAAGACGATTCATTTTTATTAATTGTTAATTTAGCCCATTTCTTTCCCCAAAATCCACCAAATCTAAATCTACCTTCACGGGATAATTGATCTTTTTTATTTCTACTTAAATTTCTAACAATATCCAATGCATCAATTTTAACAACTGCATATCCTTTTATATTTTTTGAACCAACTCTAACAACAACACTTTCAGCTTGTCTATTTTCAGGTGTATATTCAACTACTTCACCATTCATTCTTCTACATTTATATTTTTTAATTTGTTTACAAGTATTACCAACCATAATACCAATAGAAACATCACTATCAGTATGTTTATTACAAGTATTCACTCGAATTTTTTTACCTTTAGGAATTTCTACACGATAATATTTTGCTCTACTTCTTCCATTTTTTTTATTACAAATATCTGCTGAAATGTTTTGATCTTCAAATGAAATTAATTCAACAAAATGAGGTCTTGATGGTCTAAACTTCATTCTTCCAATTTTAACAGAACTTGTTTTTTTAATTAATTCTACTTTTTTAGGAATAATTGTTTTAGGAAAACTTTTTTCTTTCATTAAACTTTCTTCTTTTTTAACAAATGTTCCTGTTTTCATTTTTCTTTGAATCATCTTTTCTGCAATTTTTTCTGCAGCAACTTTTGCTCTTTGATGTCTAACGTCATGTTGAATTTTTTTCATTACATTTTTTGCTTCATGAAGAACATTATCAGTTTTATGAACGAGATGTTTTATTTCTTGTTTATTAACATTTCTTTCATTATTTTTAAGATTAGTTGTTGGTTTAAATGGTATTGCTCTTATTCTAACCCATTCTCCTTTTTTATTTTCTTTTCCTTTAATTTCTGAATGATGTGAAATAAATACTTTTTCATTAGGACTTAATGTAAATGTTACTACATTTAATTTTTCACTTCCTGAATACTTTGAAATACATTTGGAATTCTTTCCAATACAACTAGACAATACTGTAACAGTTAAATGTCCTTTTGATAAAACTCGTTGCTCATTGTAAAATTGTAATGATACAGCAATATTTGAAGGTGATTTATTTTCAACTGAAAACCATGTTGCTCGTGTTCTTCCTTCATCTCCACATCCAATATTTTTTGTTATTGGACTATATTGAGATTCAACTGTTTTTTGAAAAGTAGGTGAATTAATAATAAAATTTGTCGTTGGGCATTTACTTCTGACAAATCCAAGTATTAAGAATAGTATCAATATCATTTCCTTTTTTTAGTTCCTACTTTTTAAGTTTTTTTGATTTTTGGGGATTTTTGTTTTTATTCATATTTGTTTTTTTATCTTCGTTATAAATAAAACTTCCTTACAAACAATTTCTTTGATAATGCTAATTTCTTCTCTCCTATTATGCCTTTGTTATTCAATGATTTTTACATAAAAATAAAGTTTGATATAAGACGTACAAATACCCAAAAAAAGAATGAGTTGATAAAACTATTAATAATATTTTATATGATTGTATTTTTAATACCATTCCTGATTTTTTCTCATTCACCTCAATATGTAACTTATTATTTCTTTAATTTCTTTATTGATTATTCAAATTTCTTCACTATATTGTGTCATTATTCAAAAATCATTCATATATAATGTGTGATTTGTTTTTGGATTTTCTCTTCGATGATTTGAGAAATTACATTCATCTGTATGATGAATAGTAGATTTGATAATGAATCATTTGTAAAATTTATCTATTTAATTTAATACATCACAGTATATTCATTAAATTTATAATTGATGAATATCTTCTTTCTAGTCATCATATTTTCTATTATGTATATGATGAAACACTCATAATTAAAATATTTTAATGTTTCAATTACTCATTCGTGGTTTATTGTGTTATATGTTTTCTTAATGCCATAATATGACTCATCATATTTTGGGTATTTTTCTTCTTTCTGCTGATTCATCATATAACTATTACTTATTCATTCTTTGAAATAAAGATACTTTAATTTACATTCCAATTGATTATTACTAATTTTAAATGATTCATTATCATGTTAAATGGTGTTTATTAACATTATTCTCTTTCCTGTTTATTCATTCTATTTGTATCAAAATAAACGAATTATAGAAAACAACAACAACAACAATAATAATAATAATAAAAGAAATAATGATACTATAAAACAACACAAATGAATAAGAATTATTTAAAATAGAATGATAAAAAGAATGATATGAAGTGATAATAAAGAGTATTTAAGTATTTAAACGACATATTTTGAAGTTATAAACATCAAAATAAAAACATAATAATAAATAAAGAAGAAATAGAAATAATTGCAAAATTCAACAATGAAATGATGAAGTTCATAAGAAATAACACCAATAAATAAGAAGTAATAAGAAAAAGAAATAGCAAAGGATGAATATAAATGAA